AGATGTCTGGACCGATGTGTGCAGCTGGAGCCACATGGATGTCTGGGTCCCCACAGGCAGCCAGGGTGGCTGGGACTTCACAAGTGGCTTGATGGTTGTGCCCACACTGGTGAGTGGGCCTCACACATGACCATACAGAAGGCCCATGTGGCAGGTGGGGCCGCACAGGTGGCCAGGTGGTTGGGGCTGCTAGAGCAACTAGACGCTAGGCTGTGCAGATGCTGGATAGCTGGGCCCAGGTGGACAGGTGGGGCCATGCTAGCAGCTGGGCAGTTGGGGTCACATGGGCTGTAGGGGCCATGCAGGCAGCTGGAAGGCTGAAGCCTCACAGGTGGCTGACAAGTTGGGGCTGCATTGGCACCAGGCACCACACAATATGGGTTGCACAGTGGGATGTGTTACTCAGGATGAACTCTTGTGCAGAGAGAAGGGCCATGGCTCTGGGCCTAGACAATGGCACAAGCAACTGTGGTGGTGGTGGATATGGGCTGCAGCTGGAGCAGGAGGAGGGTTACTGCCGGGAAGTGCTCACAGCCAAGCAGATTATTTCTGCCGCAAGGGAGAATTACTCCTGGTTAATCCTGGTTTGGTAGATGTGGCAGCGGCTAAAGCCACATGCGTCTTTCTCTTCTATAACACCCTGCTTGGTTTTTGTGCCTCACGGGTCCTCACCAGGCTCCCAAGCCCTCCCACCCTCTCCCACCAATCCTCTCCCCCATACTTAGCTGTCCTTTCCTTGCTCTGGTCACTTTTTGTAGGTGGATCATGCATTGGGCACTTCTAGTCTACCATCTTGCCCCACCTCCTGATTGTCAATACTATTCCTCAATATGTGCTACCTTATTTTAAGAGTCATTTTTTTATAGCTTTCAGTTGTTCTGCTAGATATAAGGTCTATGAAAGCAGGGTCCATGTCTTAATTGTATTTGTACCTTCACTGTCTTAGGCTCCCAATAATGTCTGAAGAAAGATCAATGAATATTAATGACTTGAATGGCTTAATGAGCAAAGGACTTGCCTGGGAGCTTGAGCACCGCTGAATTTTACAGCCTTCAGTCCATTGCCTCGTTCCTAAAACAAATCTGCTTGATAATGTCTCCTCTTTCTCCCACAAGGATATTTTGAGACAAAATTGAGTTATACATATTATTTTGAGCCTTTTAGAGATAGAATTACATAGGGCACTTTGCCTCTCAGCAGTTGTGTAATTCAGTTAGATGACTTCTTGTGCTAGATACCACTTTAATGTGAATTCTTTATTGCAAGCCCTCTTTTTTAAAAAAAGAATTAATAAATGATTTAGCCTTTCTGGTGATTTTGAAATGGTTTAAGAGATCATAAATCAAAAATGTTTCAGAGATTATGTTAATTACCTGTCTCAGCCACCAGTTGCTCTATTCATGACCCTGGAGAAAGTTCTTTCTTCTCTCTGCTCATTTTTGGCTGCCCCTTCCAGGGTCTTGTCAGAATACATTTTACTGTTGTATGAAATAAAATCACAGAAATTTAGAGTTCTGAGCAAACTCAGTGCCTGGCACAGAATAGGGTCTCAGTAAGTATTGGTGGAATAAATTAATCAATCTGTCTATCTATTTCTGCCACTGCAGATTACTGCAATATCCCAGCCAGCTGTTCTGCCAGTCTCTGCTTCAATACTTCCAGTGGTAGAAAGAGGCCCTCCAAAAGCCACTTCTTCTATTTGTTAACAAATTTAATTACTATCAAATGCCACCTTAGACTTCTGTGAAGCCTTCTGTAATTCTACTGGGCAGTTAGTCACTTCTGTGCTGCATTCCTCAAGCATCTTAGTCGTATCTCTGTTGTAGTATTGATCACAGTACATTATAATTCCTGTTATATAATACCTGTTATGTCTCCCTTTCTAGACTGTGAGCTCCTTGAGGACAGAGTTATGTCTTGTTTTCTTTTTGCTCCCAGCTCTTGCATAGTACAGAATTGATGAAAGACTAGAAGGAGGGAAACAGAGAAAATGAAAGAATAACAACAGGAAATACATGTATCTATTGCCAACCCAGTGGTCTCTTAAGAGAGATGTACTTGCCCCAGAAAGTGTGTACCAAAGACAACCCATTCAGATTCAAAAAGGAAAGTTTTAAACTATTTTCATTTTTAAAATCTCAACCATTTTAATTTCTTTTTTGTGTGTATGTTTTGTTCTATGCATATTATTTTAATATAGTTGTACATATGTTTAATTTATAAATATATTGGAAGGTGCATACTCAAACATTTTCTGTTAAAGGTATAAATCATAAGCTTGGAGACCCCTAGTATAGCTGTTTGTCAGGTACAATGCTGAGCATTTGACATAAACTTGTATTATTTCATTTAGTTCACCAAAAATCTTGTGAGGTATATATACACTATGGTCCTCATTTTGCAGATGAGGAAACTGAGGCACGGGAGGTTAGGTAATTTTCTCAGTCATGTACAGCTGGTAAATGGTGAAACTGAGGCCTAGACTTAGATCTGTCTGGTTAACCACTACCACATCTTTTCTTTTTTCTGTCCTAGCATCCAGGGTTGTTCTTCAGGCACAGTGCTGGCTCATGGATTAAATAAATAAATTGAATGGATGAATCAATCATAATAAGTTTAGTTTAATATAGTATAGTATAGTAAAATAGCTTAGTATATTATAGTAAAATAGTTTAAGACTTTTCTTCTTGAATCTGAATGTGTTGTCTTTGGTACACACTTTCTGGGGCAAGTACATCTCTCTTAAGAGACCACTAGGTTGGCAATCAACACATGTATTCCCTGTTATTAAAGCTTTCTTCTTAAGAAAAATTGTGAAAATTAAAATAAAATGTCATTTTTCATTGTGAAAGCATTCATTGGCAGTGACAACCCAGATAACACCTGTGTGACACATGAGAATGTTTAGTTGCATTTCTTGGCAGAAAAACTGGCATAAAGGACAGTAAGTCACTTGTTCACTGTTGAAGCTGAAGTCAAGCAGCTGGAATTCTCATTTTCACATCTAATTATCAAGCTAACTTTTTTTTTAGTGAGATATAATTCATATACCATAAAATTTACTCTTTTAAAAGGTACAATTCAGGTGTTGTTAGTATATTCACAAGATTCTGTAACCATCATCACAACCAAATTTTGGAACATTTCCATCACCATAAAAAAAAACCATATATTCATCAGCAGTCACTTCCCATCCCCCCATCTCCCCAGCTAAGTGGCTTCTTTCAGTTAGCATAACATTTTCAAGGTTTATCTGGGTTGTAGCATGTATCAGTCCTTCATTACTCTTTATGGCCGAATTTTATTCCATTATATGGATAAACAAAAATCCATTCATCAGTTGATGGACATTTGGTTGTTTCCACCTGTTGGCTATTTTGAATAATACTTCTTTGAACATTCAGTACAAGTTTTTGTGTCAGCATGTTTTCGGTTCTCTTGGTATATACCTAGGAGGGAATTGCTAGGTCACATGGTAACTCTATTCTTGTTGTAACACCTTTTTTGCCCAAGAACTCTCAAAGCATATTAAATACTCAAGAAATATCTTATTAAGGATTGCATGGCTTCTCTGTCACCATGAGCTGGAAGGATTTAATTCAGTTTCCACTACCAACTTTCCAGAAAATCTCCACATTGCATTATTAGATAACAAGCTTTTATAAACACCAAATTAAGGTGATGATAATGCTTTATCAAAAAGTATTTAATGTTATGGGAACACTAAGAATTTTTGTTAAAATTATATTTTCTTAACTTTTTACATCCCTATGAGGCAGAAAAGAAGCAAGATAAGGCAGTAGGTGTCTCAAAGGGTCCTCCAAGAAAGTGTAGAGATTTGAATATCTAAAACTTCTAGTGTGTCTTCGAAAAAATCTTTTTGAGTTCCACCAGTGTTTCCAGATGTATAAGAAAATTTCAAAATTGCTTTTAAGTCACATGCCAGCCCTGGATGTAAATCATACTGCTCATATGTGATGCTAATATTTTAACAATGTTGACATTAACCTTTGCTATTACATCTGGTTTAGGCCAGAGAGAAAGGAAAGAAAAAAATTTGAAAATTCCATATGCCAATTTCTGCCCTGTGCATTGAAATAATATTTATATTAGCCTCTAAAGATCTGTAGTAGTCGTATTAGGAAAAAAAAAAAAAGTGTGCCTGACAGGTTACATATATAGTACTGTCCACATCGGGATAGATGTTTATTGTAGCTGTGAGGCCTTTCTGGCTTTCAGACCTTACATGTTCCCATCTTACCTTCAAACTTTCTTTGATGGCTTTTAACAATAGTAGTCATTTTCAGTCTTACTATAAGTCGAATATATTTGGTCATAATGTTCATAGTGATGAAATTCAATAGTTCCCTTACAAACTGTGCTTTTTATGGAAAGTAATCTTTCTTTTCTTAAAAAAATGCTTTGAATTTTTGTTTATTTAGTCAACCCACAAATACTGGTTGAGCATCTACTAGGCACCAGACCTGGGAAATATAGTAGGAGTAAGATAATCATGGGGTTTACCTTTGTAAAGCTCATAGCCTACCTGTGAACTTCAGAAACAATTACAGAACTGCAATTGTGATAAATGCTAAAAGTGAAAAATCTTAAGATTCTATGAGAGCAAATAACAGAGGAGCTGGCCCGGTTTGTGGTTGTCAGAAAAGGCTTCCCTGAGGAAGTGACACATAATTTGGGACCTGAAGGATACCCAGGAGTTAGCCAGGACATGGGCAGAGGGGACTGACACGTGCACAGGAGCTAAGGCAGACACGAGTGTGATTCTTGTGAGGACCTTCATGAAGAGCAGTGTGGCTGGCATGTCAGGAGCAAAAGGACAAGATGAGGCAGGTGGGGTGGGCAGCCCAGGAAGGCACGTTAAGGATTTGGGCTTCTGTCAGTGGGGGGCCATTGCTGTGGAGTAGCATTTGTTGGTAGTCTGTAAAATTAAGAAAGGCCAAGTGACTCTTTGCTCTGTCGCTTTCCTTTCTCTTGGTCAGGAATACTACTGGAGAAACTATCAGCCCAGCCAGATGAGTGAATCCGAGTTGCAGATGCTGGCAAGCCTACGGCGGCAACAGAATGAAGAGCTGGAGGATGCTGGGGCTTCCCACGGCCTAAGCGCATCCCAGGTTGACAACTGTAACATCAGCATAAGTACCAGCAGCGATGACACAACCACCTGGAACTCCTGCCTTCCACCTGTAAGTCCCTGGCTTTGCATCATTGCCTTAAAGGAGGAGCAAGCTTCTTACTAACAAAGCTCAGCTTTGCCTGGAAAGTAGGGCCAAAATGAGAACAGTCCCTATGACAAATATTCAGAGCCTATTTTGAAATACTGTTTTAGGGCTGGAGGGAGAGATTAGGAGATAACATTGTCTTTTCAACAGTCTCACTTACCTTCAGGAAATGTATGTACGAGTATGATGATGTATAAAACCATACACTGATTAAATAGTCTCACTTACCTTCAGGAAATGTATGTACGAGTATGATGATGTATAAAACCATACACTGAAAGCAAAAAAGAATAATTTTGCTGTAGATTCTGGGTATCCCATTGTATCCTCTGCTCCTAGTGCAAGCCCTGTGGCACATAAAAGAGGTTTAATATTTTTAAAATAAATATTTGTTAAACGAATGAACAAAAAGGAAAAGACTATAGCTATACTAAGTATTGCTCAGATATGAGGGCAGAAAAGAACGTTCTGTAGAAGTCATCAGATGTTTACTGAGTCCTCCCTGTGTCTCAGGGACCATGACAGGTGCTGTGGATGTTTCAGAGGCTTGCATTCCCATGTGTTTACATAGTTAATGTACTTTATGGCCCATCACCCTCACTATGGCTCCGCAGAGAAGATGGAGCAGGTCTTAGTCTTCCAGTTTTTCAGGTGAAGAAACTGAACCCTGAGCCCAGGTTTCCACACCTGGTCTGTGGTGGAGCCCAGAGCAGAACCCTGTGTTTTGACTCAGTCCATTCTCTACAATCTTGTCCTCAGTGTTGTTACAGCTTAATTGGAAGGACAAAGCATAAACATCAACAGAACAGTCCAGTACAACACAAGAAATGTCATAAGGCAGAAGAATGAAATCTTTACTATAATAATGGTAACTAGAGCTACCATTTCCTTAAGCACCTAGAGCTGTTTAAAGACCTCCATAGGCCCAAGGAACATTTACTTATAAACCCACATTCAACATTATATCATACATATTAAAATATACTTTCATCCAATAGTAAATATAACCTTTTACCATACAATTTTTGAAAGGAAATATAAAACCATATAATTTTGATTCATTTTATATATAACTATATAAAGATTGACTTGAAGTGTAGTTGACAGTGGATAAGTTATGTTTTAAGTGCATATTTAATTAAATAATTATGAATTTTGCAATGTACTCTTTATATTTTAAAGTCAGTCTTTTTCAGGTCTCTAACATCTTTGTAGATCTTGGAAATCTCAGGAGCCGTGGCACCTAGTGCCGTACATGTGTTGTCAAATTTACTCCTTAGAGCTACCCCTGTGGTAAGCACTATGAGAGTTCCCATTTCCAGACGAGAAAATTGAGGCTCTTGAGTAAAGAGATTCAGACCTAGCTTGGCCTGACTCCTGAGTCTGAGCTCCTAACCACCATGATTTGGTGACTTCTTGATATTTGACTCAATTGTCAAATGAGTGCTGTGGACAGCCAGTGGAAGGTGAGATTTCTGTGCTTTGGAGAGAACTTACAAGTCTTCAGGGAGGAGGAATGCACATTGGCTCTAAGGAGATGTGGGGATGGGGGAGAATGATGTTAATTTTTCATTAGTATTCTTTATCCTTGCCTCACCAACTTTCCAGGTTTCTCTTGCCTCAATTGTGCTTTTATTAAACACAACCATCAAGCGTACATAACACCTCAAGCAGCCTTGGTGCCAAAGTGTTTCCACCCACCCAGAGAAATATCTGTGTTCTTGTTACTCTGGTTGCCAAGTATCCTTGTAGCCAGAGCTAAGATCACAAGAGTCAGTTGCAGATTTTTACCTGTGCAATTTGTGATGGAATTGAAACATTGCCTTTCTTATAAAATATTCCTCAGCAGTCATTTAAACCACAAATAAGAAAGAATACAGTGGCCTCCTGATTGAGGCCACTTCTGTCATGAAGTGGCTCAGAGACCAACATTACAAAGGACAAGCTGAGGAATGATTATTTATGGTCTGAAAAGTCTGAACTTTTGGTTGCCCTGGATACTGTGTTCACATCACTGGCCTGTTCTGGCAGGTAAAGTCTCCTGCGTGACAACTACTCCTCTCTAAAAGTATACGGCCAAAAATAACACCATTGGTAATGAACTTAATAACCCCTCTATCTGACCAAATGAGAAATTGAAAATAGTCTATTTTTTAGACAGAGAAAATATTGAAAAGCCTACCCTTTGTATTCATAAGATATATTTATCATTGCATCAAATTCTGTCTATTCTCACTTTGGAACTATCACCAAATGGGAAATTGCATTTCTTAATGAACTCGGCATCTTGCTGCTCATATAGAGTTTAAATAGAGCAGTTTACAAGCACCGTCACAGTCTTTCTGAGACATCATGCCTTTCTCTTTAGAAGTTGTACAGGGACAGTGAAAAAGAAGAAATGAAAGAATTCATAACTGTATTTATGATAATGATATCCTGTTCTTCTTGTATCTGCATGAACAGTGGCACTATCCATGCTGGCAGTCTAGCTGGAGATTTGGAAGACAGCTTCACTTCTCCTTTATCCCTTATATCCAATTGGTCTCCAGATCCTAAGAATCCACTCCTTTTTATCTCTTTACCCTCCCTATCTAATACCATAGGCTGGGCACTTTATTTTTCATCTGAATTCCTTCAGCAATCCCCTAACAGCTCTGTGCCTCCAGTCCAAGCACCATAGCCTAGCAATCAGGAGAATCTGCTCTGAAGTCAAATCCAAGCTTTGACCTTGTAAAGAACCTGGCACTGTACGTGAGACATAATAAGCATTTAATAAATAGAGGTTAGTTATTATTATTCACATTAATGATCTTTCTAAAGCCCATATCTGATCTGATTTCTTCCCTACATTGAAGCCCTTCAGTGATTCCCCATTGCTGCTTTAGTTTGGTATTCTGGTGCCCCCATGATCTGAGACCTTTCCCCCCTCTGCAGCCTCATCTCCTCCTGCTCTCCACCTTTCACTCCATACTTTAGTCCTAGTTGTAATTTCCTAAATGCACTCTGCACATATACCTGTACCTTGTACCCGATTAAGCCTTCTGTAGCCCTTCTGCAGGCCTTATTGTGAGGGATGTACCTTCTCTCTGCCACTACAGCCAGGAATATATCCATGATAACTCTCATTTCAGCTTGCTCATCTATCTCACATTAATTCATTCCACACTTTTTTTTTCTTAGTGGCATAATGTGCTGTGGACTAGACTGAGTACTAGGGATACAAAAAAGGCTTTACCCAGCCTTGAGAGTTTTGGAGGGAAGCAGAGGTAAACAGCTCACTGTAACTCAGGGCAGTGAGTGATAGTACAATAAAGAGTTATGGGAACACGTAAGAGGGAGCAATTCTACCTGTGGGTTTCAGGGATGCTTTCACAGAGAAGGCAATAGTTAAGCCAGAGTTCAAGAATGAGTACAAGTTCACCATGCAGACAAGAGGGGGAAAACACCTCCAAGGAGCAATAATAAGTCTATGGAGGTGAGGGTAGAGTCTCTCCTTTAGCAAGAAAACCTCCTCTTAGTGTCTTTGTTTCTCCAGCAGCTTGAATAGGACCGAAGTGAGTTTTGCTTACTTCCCCATCACTCCCCACCCCACCCAGCATACACACAGAGAAGCACTGTCTACTGAGCCGCATTGTGCGACTTGCCTGTCACCGTGTGAGCCACACCTTCTGTTCAGACCACGCCAGTGCTCATCTCTTCCTCCACCTGGACTGCCCCCCATCCCTCTTCTCTACCTGGAACATGCTACCTGGTTTTCGTTTGTTTGTTTTGGGGCTAATTTTTATTAAATGCGTTATTTTTTTAAAGAAGTTTTAGGTTTACAGCAACATTGAGAGGAAGATATAGAGATTTCCCATGTACCCCCTGCACCCACTTATGCCTAACCTCCCCCATTCTCGATGGCCCCCACCAGAGCAGCACGTTTTTTACAATTAATGAACCTCCTTTGACACATCATTATCACCCAAAGTTCGTGGTATACAAGGAATAGGAATGGCTATCAATGGACACAGCTTCACGTGAAGACCAAGAGTATAAACTCTAGATCAGCCAACCTGTGCTGAAATCCCAGCTCTGCCACTTACTGATATGGTCACCTATGAAATGGGAATAATGAAAGGGTCTTCCTCATATTGGCATTATGCAAATTGAATGAGTACGTGGAGTACAAGTGCCCAGTGCTTCGCGGAGTGAGCTTGCATGACTATAAACTGCTACTACCTGAGGTTATTTTCCTCCAAGGGCCACTGAGTGATTGGAAGAGATTTCTAGGACATTTTCCCTTTTTATAACCACTGAGGCCTATCAGGGTGGGCAGAGATTTTTGTTGTGCTTGTTTTGATGTGAACTTAACCATTGTCATCAGGACTGACCTCCTCAGAGCTTTACAAATAAACTCTTTCATTACATCATTATTTCAATATTTTATTACTTCTCTGTCCCTCCTCGAACCTAGTTTCAAGAAAAGAATGTCTAATGTGCATGCTGCCCTGTGAGCAGATACCCCAAAGCTATCATTCCTTCAAGTTAAGAATTCCCATAACCTAGCATCAAGCACGTAAGTCTCCTTTGCTTGGGGGAAAAAAGAAAGCTCACCGCGTGCATCCATCCACATGACATGTTGCAGAGCATAATATTTGGAGAAAAACAAGGCGGAATGCACTTAATAAAATTGCAAGCATATGGTGGGGTTCTCAGACAAGTTATGATCTTGATTAACCTTGCAACATTATTGCCATTTTCATAGGTTTTACATAATAACATTAAAGTATTGTCTTTACCTTTTAACATGGCAGGATTATCTTATCTCCTGTTCTTTTATTTAGCTTTCGCTTCTCTCCCTCACCCCCAAATTTCTAGCAACTTGATCATGGAAAAGCAAAGCTTCTTGTGCTCAGTGGTTAATTTTTTGTGTGCTGTTTTCCTGGCACTAGTGCATAGCAACAGCACCACCAAAAGGACAAAGTCCTTAGTTCCTAGGATCTGTTCCATTTCTTTGTTCAGTAGCATATCAGCATTTGACGTGATGATTCCTGGCTGCTATGTATCCAAAATATAATGTATTGGCATTTCAGACTCTTTACAGTTAATAGGTCTTAATTTGTTCTGATCTACAGATTCATTAATTTCTCAGCTGTCTTTGGGTGTAATGAGTTTTCTTTTAATCCTCCTGAACTAAGAGGTAAGTACTTGATTGTACTAAGCTGCAGATAAATCAGATGAGCAGATGTTCTTTTACAACTATAGAAATGATGCACGAAAACTGATATTAGAGTCAATGTAATATCTGTGCTGTCAGGAGAAAATATTGAAATGTGCAAGTTGTTCTGTGTTTAGTGACTATGAAAGTCACCCCATGAAATAAACTTTTCTTATTCTCAGAGTACTGTCTATGATATATTGTGTTTGTCCCAAATTTAGCAAAGTGGAAAAACTTATTTTATTTCATTTTAAATAAACAGTGATGTGTCATGAGAATGAAATTAAATCAATTTAATTTATGGTAAGGAGGTAGTAGTATATATTTCAAGTAAATGCATTTCAGGACCACTTTCTTTTTCCTGCCACAAACTGAACTGTTTTTGTCATATTTGTAATTCAAAAACTTAGACATTCACCACTTTAGGTGAACTCCCAAGCTGACTTAAACACTACAGACTAGTGGTTAAGAGAGTAAACTGTGGAGTCAGACTGCCTGGGTTCAAATCCCGTCTTCACTATTTCCTGGCAGGTATGATCCTAGGTTAACTCCAAGTGTCTGCATTTCCTCTTCTGTTATGTGGAGTCATTAATCCTATATATTTTATAGAATTGCTGTGAGGATCAAATAAGATCATGTCTATCAAGAATTAGCACAGAGTAAATGCTCAATAAATATCAGTTACTGATGTTATTATGGTCATAGTTATTTGTAGATATTGGTTGCCATCCATTTATGGCATTCTCTAGATATGGCTGAATTCCAAAATCAAAAGAGAAATTTTATTTTCTTTTACTGGTGCTTTCACAGGATGTTACCTACCTAGAAATAGGTTCCCTGGTTTACTTCTGCATATGCATAGAAACATATTGTAAGGGAAGAAAAATACCTTTCCCTCACCCATCCTAGGTTCATGGCTGAGACCCATATAACAAAAGACAGACTGGTTTACTTCTGCATATGCATAGAAACATATTGTAAGGGAGGAAAAATACCTTTCCCTCACCCATCCTAGGTTCATGGCTGAGACCCATATAACAAAAGACAGATTAACAAGAGAAAAGCATCCAAATTTATTTCATGTACATTTTACATGTCACAGGAGCCTTCATAAGGAAATGAAGACTCAAAGTAATGGTTAAACTTGTGTATCTTTATGCTATAATTTTACATGTTATGGGAGCCTTCATAAGGAAATGAAGACTCAAAGTAATGGTTAAACTTGTGTATCTTTATGCTATGTTTGACAATGAGTGGAAAGTGATGGAGAAATATGATTAGACAAGAGGGATATGATCCAGTGATAATAAACTGGGGAAAACTTAGCAAGGCCTGTTTGTTCTGATTCTTCTCTGTGACTCTTTGTCTTCAGAGACAAAGATGTGTTCCTTTTCTTCTGGGTATAGGAAGGCCCTCTCACCTGAGGGTCTTACATTTTGCCTCAGGGGCAGGTCAGAAAATCCTTCCTCATTTTATGACCAACTTCAAGGGTAAAAGTCAGGGGAAGTGACCTTCCTGTTTCTGCTCTTTCCTCAAATGCCAAGGTGCATATTTGGGGATAGCATGTCTCGAACTCCATCGATATCCATTTGTGGGTGGGACATCTGGCTTCAGACAGCCAATTGTCCACCTTTCTATCTATTCCCATCAGCAGTTCTTATTACTTTGAAAAGTTTCCACTGGTTATTTTTTTTTTGGTTTTCTAGCACTTAAAAATCACTGTGGATGTGACTCTTGTATTAATATTGTTATTGTTCTTTTTTCTCATGTCATTGAGTTTATTTTTATAACAACATGAGCAAAGATGGAAAGGGACCAATCTGTATAGTTTAAAGTGAGAGCTCCGTCACAAACAAGATAGGATTCTGTAACCATTTCTATTTTCCAAGGAATAGAGTAAGTCATTTAGAATAAGGGCTTGGGGGTGGGTATAAATAGAATTAATAGATAAAATTAAGAAATGGAAATTTGGATGAATATCAGGACTGTGATGCTTAGAGAGTTATGGAAATGCCTCTGAAAATAAGTAGGCAGAGGTCCATTCTCAGGTGGCCTGAGGGCAGCTGAAATACTGGACGAATACCAATGAACTTGTTGTCAGAAGTATTCCATACCAGTGTGAGTTGGTCCAGAGAACCCATTAGGTCCTTTGCTTGCTAATTTCTTTTTTTCCATGAAATAATAGAACCTAGATCATAGAACCAAATTTCACTTGCAAATTGCTGAAAGTCTTATGTTTCTAGTGAGATCAAATATGTCTTATGACATGTTTTTCCTTCCACTGTTCTCCCAGCTGTTGTTTCTTATTACCTAAATGGTGATGCATTGATATCGGCTCAATTACCAAAGTATCTGAGTACATTTAAATTCATGGTGCATCACAGGTAGTCAGGCTAAGTGACTGTGATTATCAGACAGGGTGTTTGATATAAATTAAAGGAACACTTCCAAGAGATTATTTATGGAGGAAGACAGTTTACTCTGAAGATTTCCCATCAGCTATGTCATTAATATTTTAGGACACATTAAAATAAGGAATATGGGCTCTCTATATATACAGGCACTAGTGCTACACTGTTTTCCTCATTGGGATCAGCTCTGTGCGGCCATGTTATAATGGATGAGAAAGCCTTAACATCAACCCTGTTGGGTAAGGAGGTAACTAAAGCCCTTTGAATGCAATTCAAAAATGTATACCAAATTCCAACTTGTAATAAAATGAGACTGTTAAAAATGATTTTCATGTTAGAATTATATTGTTGTTAATTACATTAAGAAAAATATTAGAGCTGATGTTCAAAGAAAGACTTCATGTTAGATATAATGGAATTTTCTCCCTTTGTTGAACAAAAGAAAAATATCAAGATTCTTCGGAGGCAAGTGTTTAAGGCTACATCGGATATAATTGTTTACCTGTGTTTTGAAAAAGACAGTAACTTAAAGTTTTCCTGCGCAGGGAAAATTTGAGATTTCATATTTTTGTTAGGTATTGGCATCACTTTTTCAGCTCATCGATTAATACTTGAGGTTGTATTATACACTTGGGGGAAATGACCACTCTGACCTAAGATTTACATGTGTAATTCTCATTAATAATAATCGATGTTATCGTTGCAAACTCACTAACATTGAGTCATAAATATTTTGGGGGTCTGTGGGTCACTGGATCTCTGGGTCTCTAGGTCTCTGAGTTATTGCTGATGCTTACAATGCAGCATTAGTTCCACAAGATAACTTGTTTGGTTTTGCTCTATCTGGAAATATCAACCAATGTTAACAGCATGAAAATTCCACAAGGAGGAGGATTTCAACACATGAACAACATTGATGCAATCAAATCCAGTGACTGGCCATTAAAGTAACCTGTGTTTTCTCATTTCTCTTTGCTATTCGCTAGGCCTCCCAAAGACCCTTTTAACCGTTCTGTAAAATAAACCCAACCCATTCTTGTAGATTGTGTCTCAGGAAAAAATTACAGTAATGAGAGTGGGTGTGAAAGTACATGTGAAGAACATCGTGCTGATTAATACCTCACACATTTTTTGTCTTTTACAGCCTGTCAATCAGGGTCGTCACTATCAGAAAGAAATGAATCCACCTTCTCCTTCTAACCCCCGGTAAGAATCATTAAAAATCTCAATTTAAAAAAAATAAAAAACAGATTATTAACATATTATTTAGAAGATTAACTGTGCATTTTTCCTGGTTCCATGAAATTGTTTTCTAAAACTTCCAAAGAGCTTCCAAAATTCTTTTCTTTCGAAGTCTTAGTTCATCCACTTTTCTTATTCAGACTGTGGAGTTTGGTAACAGTCTACCTAGGTTTAAGTACCTACCTTTTACTAGCTGTGGGCCTTTGAGCAAGTCATTTAACTCAAAGTAATTCAGGCATGATAATTACCTATAACACTTCAGGGAGGTTCAAATGAGCTAATACATGAAAAATTCTTAGTACAGTTCTTGGCACATAGCAAGCTTTTTTAAGTATTCATTTATTCATTGTTATTTTATTCACATAAATATGTCATGTTAATAGATATTTGATGTTTAGTACATTTTAGGCATAAATTTTTGTTATATAATCTGGTGTCTTTAAATTTATCAAGATAGCTTATATGAGTTCAATGGCCATTCTCTTTTTTATAATTTCATAATTTCAAAAGTTCATAATCTTGAAGTTATTTTATTATTTCAAAAATGTCATTGGCATATAAGTCATTTGTCAATATAAGTAAAATCTCATTCTAGGATTATTAGGAACAAGCAAATCAAAATTTGAGTTTTGAAATATATTTAATATATGGCTTTCTGATGAATACAGTTATATAAGCTACTTTATCCATATATATTGGTATCCCATTATCACTATTTATTATACACTAGGAATTTATTGAAAAATCAGCCTATCCTGAGCTCCACCCACAGAGTCTTAGTTACTGTAATGCATCTCATTATCAGGCTATCTAACTTATATGTGGGTTGTCCCATGGAATGGACCAAACCAAGGACAGCATTGTAGCTCTGGCTGTAGGGTGTAGTATCTATTCCATGGGGTCTGAATTAAGCCTCTTTGGTTACACATAACAAAACAACTTGGCTAGTATTGGAAGAAAGACAAAGAGAAAAAGAGAGAGAGAGAAAGGCAGGAGGGATTGTTAAACAAGAATATAGGGCTGGAGAGTAGAATAGTGTTAACAGAGGCAGAGAAAGGGAGAGGGCGGAAGGGACAGGAAAAGGTTGGTAGACCGGTACAAAGTTACAGAGTCACAGTTAAATAAGAAGAATAAGTTTTGGTGTTTTAAGGTGACATTAGCTAATAATATTGTATCGTATATTTCAAGATAGCCAGGAAACAGGATGTTGAATGTTGTAATCACAAAGAAATGATAAATGTTTAGGTGATAGATAATACCAACTATTCTGATTGGATCATTATACAATATATGCATGTACTGAAATAACAAATTGGACCCCATAAGCATATATAATGAAAAAATTATTTTTTAAAAAAGAATATAATAGGGCTATGTCCTAGAACCCAAGGGCAGCCAGGCCTCAGGAGGGGCCTGAAGCTAGGAACTAGAAATCCAAGAGGCAGCCAGGCAGTATCCTCACCCCATCTCTGCTTGCTTCCTCCTGTCTGCTCCATTCCTCTCTCTAAGCTCCAGTTTGTTCTGCATCCCGGTCGACAGATGGCTGTCTGACAGATCTTGAGTTTGCATGTTACAGTCAAAGTACATGCTGAGGCTGACAGACAATGTCTGAATCCCAATTTCTGCTTTCCAAGAGACAGAATGTGATTGGCCTAGCTTGGGGCAAGTATCTGCTTCTGGTCCAGTCAGCAGTGAACACTGAACCAAGTCATGTAAAAGTAAAATGGCTCGCAGAAGACCATGTCCATGGCCTACAGAACGTTTATTGGGACCAAGAATATTCATGACATTGGTAGAGTAAATGTTCTTTATTAGTAATCTCTTCTAAGTGTTTCTCGTCTATACACCTGATCACAGAAGACCACATCCATGGCTTACAGAATGTTTATTGGGACCAAGAATATTCATGACATAGGTAGAGTAAATGTTCTTTATTAGTAATCTCTTCTAAGTGTTTCTCGTCTATACACCTGATCTGGTCGTTCTTTCATGTTACCCAGTCAGGGGAATCATCACTCTCACAAGTAGATATAATAAGGAGTTTAAAATTGAGGTTAGAATTTTAGTATATATAAAAAGATATTTTACCATTCTTAAAATCAGTTATTTCTTGATAGGTGAACATGTCACTTGCAATCTTGCTCCTCATCTAGATTTGCCTAACATTTTTTTTTTCCTGTATATGAGTAAGCTTTCAAGGTAAATGGAAATCCAACTTCAGTCCAAATTTTAACAAATTCAGAATTTGTAGTCTGAACAAATGAGAGTGATGAAAGATATGTTAGAAAGTGGAGCATTTTGTTTCAATAAAAGGAGAAAGGGGGCCTAATTCTCATCCTAATTCTGCCACTAACCTCGTGTATGATCTCAGACATGTCTCAACTTCTCCAAACCTCCCTTAATAATAGGAACACCCTTAAGCATAAAAGAAAAGATTTGAGTTACATGCTCTCTGAGGTCAATTCCAGTTTATGATTTTGTGACTTTTATGAGACTCATTACAGACTTAGAAAATCCAGTCCCTCCACTGAAGGGTCATACTACTTACTTTTATTTCACTGCTTTGTATATAAAACATACGTCATAAATATTGGATGATTGGATGACTGAATATTTAGATGTGGTAGTTTGTGACTTTAAATATCTTTTTTAATAAGTTGATTTCCAAAGATAGAATATCAAAAAGATAGAAAATTCACCAGTTAAACAGACAGCATATCCTATGCAACCAATTAAAAGTTCATTCATTTAGGAAAAATTAATTTACATTTCTACATAGTGAATAAAAAGGCCAAATTCTAAAGCCAAATAGAAAATGCCGTCAACACCATTTGCCAGCAGGTTATCCACCAGTTTCCTAAAAAATTATTAAATAACTGTTCAGAAAACCTGCAGATTATGTGGCTTGTCCCTTGTCTCATAAATCCAGCAGCTTCTGGCAGGAAGGTATTATTGGGCCATGCAGAAGATGATAAAGTTATGAGGTCAGCATATATCATCATATAAAAATGGGATAAATTGAATTATGTAATACATGTAATTTAACTTAAGATTGAAAGCTCTGATGCTCCTTAAGATTTGTATTTATTATGTTTCTTACAAATAATATCCCATGTTGTAGACCTAAAATATAAAACCTTAAAATTAAACTTTAAAGTTAAAGGATACTGACAATTAATATGAAAAATATATAAGAAATGAGAAAGTAAGTCTCGAAGACTACTATCTTGGATAAACAAGCATCTAGCCTGAATCCTAGATTAAAAGTTCTGCATGTAGAACCTCTGAAGAATACATGAAAAGCAGGTCAGCTCTTGATTTCCTGTATGAAGTATGGTTGTGATCAGAGTAAAGCCAACATGGCAGAGATGGGGTGTGCACATGCACGTCCACTGAAAGGAGAGCAGGACAGTGCCCTCTAGGAAGTGAATTGGCCACATTAGCTTCAGGGAAATATCTGCAACTTCTCCAGAGACCAAAGAATCTGAGAGTTTTAAATTCCATATACTCATGCCTACATATGAGTATATACATATTTATAGTCAAATTTCAATTAACATCATTAATATAACAGAAAAACCAATATCCCCGAAGTCTTTCATTTACATTTTACCCTAGAAAGATTTTTATTTCTGCAACATAATTATCTTCTTAGTTTTGTGTGTGTAGGATTAAAATTAAAGATGGTACTCAATCCACAAAGCAGGCAAATTTGGATTTTGAAGATTTGGTTCGAGGATGAAAGTAGCTAAAACACTGCATATATTCATATATTGTTTTCCTCACAGTAAAACCATTCACTTACACCCATAGGGCAGTGCTTGGCACTGGATCGAGGTGGGATGCAACGCTAATCATTTTCTGAGAAGTTTACAATCTAGGAATTTGGAATTTAAATGGTTCGCCTCATCACATTCGCTGGTGTGTCTAGATTTGCAACAAAGCCATTTCCCCTTGCATTATTAGGCTCAGGGTGGTATTTCCCATTATTTTTTCCTAACACAGTGACTAATATTTAGGCAGCCTCTCAGATGCTGGGGTCCTTGCCTACAGCGTCCACGAGCACTGCCTCTTGGGGACTGACAGCCTCTATAATAAGGTGCAGAAATGGCTCACATAATCTCATACAATTTAGAGGAGTGTAAGGTAGGAGGAAACAATTTCACAGTTCGTTCATGTTGAGAAATGTTTCCTTGCATGTAAACTTGCATGCTGCCAAACAGAGCAAAATGGATGCTGTTTGCAGCCTCAAGTCATTTATTTTAAAATGCGAGCTATTGGTTTGCAGGGTTTAGAGCTGTCCCTTAGGCACATCTATTTATATGTCTATGTAGATTCTTCAGAACAGTGCAAGATATTTTTGCTCAGGAATGGGTTTTATGAAATAAGCTGTGATTAGGTTCTGGTTGTCTGTTCACACGGATGGAGTTGATAACCAGTCTTTTGATTCAAATGATTATTACACTTGCTATTATTACAACTTATTGAAAAATTGGGGGTGAGGAGAGAATGTAGCCAAAGGCTTTCTAAGGTTCTAAATGTTTATGGAAATAGACAATATAGAAAATAATTCTAGAATACCCACGCAGCAATGAATGGCGTGATTTTCTAAAGTGTTTGCTTTATGATTTATCACTTATCTGTAGTTTTTTAAAATGTCATTGCTGATTGTGTTAGGGCCTGAATCCTTTACAGCTTTGTACATGTTTGTGTGATATGAACATACTTATAACTGTAAGTATATGATAAAGACAAATGATTAATAACCACTGACCTCAGTTCCCGCTGACTCAGCCAGCCTGACTAAGGCAAGCCGGCCCATCATCATGACCTACATATGCTATTCTGGACTTATCACAGTGGCGTCATTTTTCTTTTCTCCCCAGTTGTTGGAACTCAGCCTGATGGGCTTTTTTTCTACTGCTTAAGCTTTTTGTTTTTCCAACAGAAGAGAGAGGAAATGT